GATACTTTATATTTCCTGGTATCTATCTCTAAATCTCAAATAAAATCACCATTATATACATTAATTAGTTTAAGGTTTAAATAGTGATTTCTTCACAAATCAGCAAAACGTTTGGTCAGAAACAGAAAACAGATCAAAAAATTATGTAATAAACCTAAACCATAACCAAACTAAATTATAAATTAATAGTGATCTTTTACGGTATAACCAAATTTTTACTGCCTCTTTTGTTTTTTTCTTCAAATGATAGGAACAAGCCAAAAATTAATCTTTGGTTTTATATGGTTCTAAGAAACCTGATGATTGATACAATTTCATTTATTTTTATAAACAACAAAAATGTTTTAAGAAAACAAAAATTGTCACGCGTTGAGAACCAAGGTCCATGCACTTAATTTCACAAGCCATCCCATGGCCATGCATTATCGTTTATTTGGCAGACAATAAAACATTAAAAATTAGTACACAAGCAGCTTGCATGAACAAGTTCACTTGACACATATATTTGCCAGAAATAATTGAGAAATAAATGAAACTAAAGGACATAAGAAGACATAAAAATGTAAGGTTTTCACGTCGATGGATTCGTTTTTATATTTTGTGGCCTCTCTTAAGTTTTTAATGAGTAATAATAACCAAGAAAACCACCACAGGGTTTGTTAGGGATGCGTTTCAATTATCATCTTGATCTGATTCGGATTAGGACTTAATTATTTGACTAACACCGTATTAAACGTGGGGTTTGCTGGAAAACAAACCGTCTGGTTTAGTGCCACTAATTTAACAATTATAAATTGCCTAATTATTTGCACTACTTACAAAATTACGATCTTAAGCTTTCCCCTTTTAGCGGCGGTATTTGGTGGTGGTTATGACCGGTTCGACTTGTGAATTTAGTAACCGGAATAATCACTCATACGATACTAAATCCGGTTAATCGTTGAGCTATAATTGGGTTGGTTGCTTTGGAATGCAACTTGCATTGATTATTTTTCTTTTGATATATAAATGCATATTACTTATATTACAACGAGGCAAAAATTGACAACTTGGATTGGGTCATGACTTCAACCCAACTCCCAACAAAGAAGATAACACAGTTGGAAAAAGGATATTGGTCATCAATGAATGATTAGACTTTGATTAATTTAGGACCCAATTAAAAGTTAATAGCACTATTTAGAGAAGAGATAATAATTAGAACATGAACTTTACATGTTCCTAATAAATAAGGTCTTTCTAATATCTTACCCAATTATTGGTCACTATTTGTTATACATCAATTATGTATAGTTGGTTATTTTTGTCAATACGTATATAGTTGGTTTTAGTTTTAGACGTTAGGTTTTATCCTTTTGTATCAAGTGGTGAATGTTTTTTATAATCGAGTTTTCTTATTAAGTAACAAATTCATAATTCAAGAATGTACGCATTAATTGTTTGATAATTGATTGTAGTGTATACAATTCTAAATGGAATTTGGTTATAGTTAGATCTATTCTTCTTGAGGAATATATGGTCATAGCATTTTTACTTCGTGCCGAAAATGCCAAAAAGAGAAACGGTGTAGCTTATTATTTTAGAGGGAAAAAAAACAAAAATACACCGCCACTTCTAAATCATGTGCGAAACAAAAGATTATTTTTATAATTCACAAATGTATGTATTTGATTAAAACTTAACGGCTCATTTCACGCTTAACAAATACGTCACGCATGTAATTGATCACTCTCCCTAATTAGTGGGTCTTACGACAGGGCCATATTTGTAGATAGGTCCATTTATAGCCCAATAGCTATTTGTTAACAAATGGTTCCACTTTTGATTAAATTCAGGAGAAAAACAATGAACATATCTCTATGATATCTGTACAAACTGAGATACATACATACACACACATAAGAATACTTCGTAGGATTCGAACTCGCCCTAATTCTCTCCCAAGCGGGATTCTCGAAGTAGCCGCACTATAACATTTCTTCATCTGAGAATGGTCTTCCGACTCCGACTATCCACCGGCGTCGTCATCGAAGTGTTCCCCTGAAGCCACTGCCGCCGCCCTACACTGCTCCCGGTGAGTATTTATGATCTTCCACCTCTCGAACAGTGAAGAAGATGTCCAGTCTAGGCTTTCCCCGTCTCCTCGTGATCTCGAAGTCAATTATCTGTCGTAAGAATCTCCTTCACCCGGAGCCGCCAGATCCGGCGACGGTAACATCCGTGAAAGGCGCAAACCCTTCGAAACCACCGGAACCACCGAATCCACCTGATTCGCTATATTCCTATGGGCCACCGACCCTCTCCCGGATCTACCCATCCGCCTTGTCTCCTGTCGGTTCAGTCTATTCATCTGCTCTTTCTTCGGTGAACCGTCAAAGGGTCAGATCTACTTTGGACTCCGGTATGAGGCCTCTCACCATCTCGCAAGTCACCTTCAATGAGCTTGTCGAGGGCAATTTCTGTCTCCCTCTTGAAGTCGAATCACCCCTCGCCCCATGGAAACAACCATATCCGCCGCTTCTGTGGCCAGCCTTTCCGGCAAAGATCTGTAGCTCGGCCGTCGTCTCAGGCACCTCGTCGCCAGCAACTCAAAACCCTAGTATGAATGCCATCCTCTTACGTCTGGACCTGGACCAGTCTGGTTGCTCAGTAGCCCATCTAAGGCCCACCAAGATTTTCATCCTCTGTCGGCCAGTAATAATCCAGGTCACAAAACTCACACCTTAAATATGTCTCGCTCAAATTACTCTTACAAAGAGAGATCACTTTCAAACTTTTGTTTCACCAACGTTTCATTGGGTATTCTTCCATATGTCTCTACCGGTGGATCTCCGGGTCTTTCCTCCTTCACGGAGAAACCTTCCTCGTTTACCGAGAGATCACTTTCGCAAACTTCCTCCTTTTTGGAGAGATCACCCTCATCCCATTCCTCCGGTTCGGAGAGACTCATCCCACCAACCTCCTCATACATGGAGATGGTTTCAAAACGCTCGGCCTTGACGGCATCAAGAGCTAATAGATGTGTTCACTTGCCTTTATTGGAAGAAGAATTATGGCCTTCTTCGGTATCCAAGCGGATCCGAGAACAACCGGTTATGACCTATGGTTTTAACCGTTTATCCTATCAAGTTCCATTGTATTTTGTTTATGCTTTAATTTCAAACTTTTGAGATGCGGTTTCTTTGGCAAAGAAATTCTGGTTTTCTCGTATTGTAGCCTTTATCTAAGTTTCAATATAAGATTGTTGTCCAAAAAAAAAAAAAAATCTCTATGATATCTCATTTTATTCCTTTTGTTTTTCAAAGAGCAAAGAGGATTGCAAAATTTGATATCCGGTAAAAATGGAGCGGATCACTGCATGTTTTCCGGTTTAGGTACTTAGGCTATGTATCATTCTCCTCTATGCATCATAAAACAGGGTTTGGGTTTAGAGATATGATAAATTAGTCTTCTAGTTTTGAATTTATTACCTCTTAAGAGACCCCTATAAATGAATAAATTACTTCTTATAATAAATTAGTCTTCTAGATTTCATTTATTATAGGAAGTTGTGTTGAGTCTATGGTAAGTTCAAGTATCAATTCAAAGCAGGAATATCATAAAAAAAAAAACTTGATATGTGGATGATGATGAGTGTAATGTCAATGGGACTAACTAAAATTGGTAGGTCAAATTGGCTAAATTTCTGTATGGATGGGAAAATAATGCTATTGTTTTTTGTTTTCATAAGTGATTGCCTATTAATATATTTTATAACCATAAGAGAAATATTTTTTGATATAAAGCTAGACAATAATGTAATTTGAAATAAGATAACGTTAGAAACATATATATCCAGGCTGTCACAAAGATCAACTTCGTTGATGGTTTTTTTGCTAAGAACCTCGTTGATGGTTTTGATTAAGAAGTCTTCTCCGTTCGTGCACATTCCCAGTTTCTTAATTGGACAAATATATTAATTTGCATGTATGCATGTATATATTATATACAAATGGTACTTGGACATTTCTTGGTATATGAAATCTCTAAGGATGCATTATAATAAAGGTTGCTGAGATTGGAAAACGACGTCGCAGCCAACAGTTATTGTTTCTTGTTGGTTTCATTTTCATATATTCGTCGTAGCTGATTCAAGTTTGCTGCACATGTAATTAAGCAGTCTAGTAACTAAATTTTTAAATTTACAAACCAAACCACATTAAAATGTGTTACTATTATTACTACTATTTTGGCTCAAGACTTGTTCTCTGTCGTTTTTTTGGTTTGGTTTAAAGTTTGAATTTTTATATTGAGCAGTACGAATAGAATGCCTATTTATCCATTACCCAAAACCTTTTCCGGTTCAGTCGCTGGTCCGGTTTTACAGAATTGGAAAGAAGAGTGAGTGTATAAAAATATATAAGTATGGATTTGTCATTTGATTGTCGGAAGAAACTCAATCAAAACAGCTAATTCCAGTCTGTATCTATATTCGTCTATTGACTTAACCTCTACGTGCACACAAACATTGGTGAGAGTATTTATGATAGAATTGAGAAGCCTTTCTTGACTATATATACTAGTTTCTCTATAGAGTGAATCATAATCATCCATGGCTGCTACTTCACCATCTGGTGCACACGTGCGTTCAACAAGCTGGCCTCAAGATGTTCATCCTCTGTCTCGAGCCATCGAAATTCATCTTCTGACACTGGCTCAGAAATCAGAGTCTTCTTGTCAGAAAGTTGGAGTTTTAAAGAGTATGTACGAGGTTGTCGAAGTTTTCCTCTGTTTTCAAACGACGAAAACCCGAAAAGCTTTCTCCGATTTCGAAGATGTTTCCGATGGGTTTCTCGAAGTTCTTGATATATGTAGCACGATCAGAGACGTTCTTATGCAGATCAAAGAGCAAGTGAGGGACCTCGAATCGAGCTTGAGGAGGAGAGTGATCAAAACCAAATCAGGAGAAGATCAAGATGCTTTCTTGAATCGTGAGATCGACGCGTATGTGTTTAAGAGAAGAGCGTTGAGCAGAAGAATCTCT